CTGTTGGATGTTGTCCGCCATTGCTTCTGTGGTTAACGTCACGTTGTAATCCAACTGCAGTTGAGTTGGACGGCAATTGTAGTTCAAGATGAGCGTTCAATGACGTATACTATCAAACTCACAAATGGACCAATCAGAGGTTAGCGCTGATTTCCAGCTGACGGCGTCCTGTCCTAAGAAACCAGGCCTTAAGCTTTGCCAAATCAAGTTTTTCTCTCCCATATATTTGAATTTCTTACTGACACATACTGCCATGGGGAAAAAAAGATTTACCGAAACAACTGAAACCGAGCGAAGAAATCACGTAATCTTGAGATACTTATTTACAAAGAGTATAGTGTTTCAATTGCTTTTTATATTAAATCAAACATTAAATTATTGTGTTTGAGAATGTGTTTGTTAAGCTAACTAAGTATATATTTGTGAACATTTCTCAATCTTTTAATTTTAAAAGTATATGATTGATGAACAGTGCGTCACTGTATGGCAACAGTTACTATGGAATTATTACTGATACAGTAAGTAAATAGAGGAAAGATCATGGGAAGAAATGAAAATTATTAGTTAATCAGCATAACTATCTATTTTTTTAACCTTAAATTCGACCCTTCAAAATTTGTTTCCAGTTCTAATATTTTTTTAAAATATTTTTAAGTCAAGAAACTATTGTAGAATATTTTACTGACTTTTTATAGACCATCTTTTATCTAGAGAATTTCATGAAAGATAAATAGCTTTTGCTTAATAAAATCGCTAAGAGTTTGATTTGAAATGTCTATAAAGTCATACTGATTTTGGATTCTACTTCCTCGTAATGTTACATAACTAAACTTTATCCTTAGATATTAAACTGCATTTCAGCAAATATAAATTTAATATTTAAAAAAAAAAATTTTTTTGGATTTACTACGACGCGAAATATGCATATAAAATCTAAGCAATAAATAAAAAAGTTCTGCAGACACAAAATATTTATTTTTTCTATTATATTTGTAAAACTATCCCATGCCTGAATATAAGTCTATAAATCATCTTCCTTTCACTAGATATAGCAAAATATTCCACCTTCAAATATTAAGTGTCGAATAAGCATCTCTTCAGGCTCCCTCTTCGTCTTGTCATTTAGAGGCATAGAATGGCTACTATTTCGAAAGTTTCTGGGGGAAAAAATGTTCTTTCGAATTTTATAACGGCTCCTTCCGGGAGGGCAATTTGCTCCATTCTTCTCGAAAACCTTACGGAATGGAACATTTTCATGGTTCGCCTTTCTGCGCAGCTGGAGAAAATATCGAGACATGACTTTCATTTAATTTTATTTTCCTTATCTCTCAAAACCTATACCGTCTAAGAATCCAATACATTTCACGTAAATATTACTGTAAAAAGGGAGCTTTTTTCAATACATTTCAGGTAAATATTACTGTAAAAAGGGAGCTTTTTACAGGATCATTTGAATTTTTTTTTTTAAGTAAGTTTTTCTGATAACGCAACCTAAAAAATAAAATGCATTATGATACAATTCTGTAGCTGTCTGAGAGTCAATATTGTTTAGCAAACAATTTTAAGAAACTTTTTTATTATCTGGTATAACTTGGGTAGCGTCTAAAAAATAGAGCTGTCATTTTTTTAAAATTATATAAAAGAAATACTTATGTACGAGTTTTATTTTATATTTTATAACCGGCGTTGAACAGCCGACCCAATTCTGAGTTAACAACTATCAATGTTCAACTTCGTAGCCTTGCAATTTTGAACCCGATCCAGGAGACAAAGGAACTCATGGTTTAAGAATTCAGAGAAACTAGCATCCTTCATGGAGGACTTTTTGATGGAAAAAACCAGCATTTGCGTTACATGGGAAAGAAAAAACACGAAAACCTCCCATGGATAGCCAGACAGCAAGAAGACTAACCCATGTCTAATTCAGCGTCTGTTTTATTACCACCGGTAACAAATACGAGTCGAAAATTCACTTTTAAAAACATTCCCATGCTTCATCTAGCATGTTGTCGCGTTTTTACCTTCAGAACGAAATTTCCGCTTCAGAATATTTTTTTTTTTTGCGCTTTTGTTTTCCCCTTGTTTATATATTAACTTGTTACCCTTAATTAGTAAACTTATTTACTTCCTTTTTTGACAGCGAGACTAAAAATATAAAAATAAACTCAGTGGAGTCACAGCACAAGGAGGGCCAAAGCCTACTAATCCCATCCCACTTTTCTGGGCTCTCAGGTGCAGGAGAAGTCAGCCGAACGTGAATTAGAATTTTTTTTATAAATGTGTGGCCAATAATATTTTAAAGTTGTCTAATTTCATTATTATAATTAGAATTGTTTCAGAATTATTTTATGGCAAATAAATTTCATCTTCGTTAATAAGCATAAATTTTATGTTTATTGTTTCAAAAACTTAAACCCTACATTTATTTGTTGAAAACATTGTATGCAATAGTTCAATTTTACATAAACCTACTTGAAGAAGCCTGACATTTTTTTCTTCTCATTTTAGAAATCCCTGAAGCCTTTACCATAATTTGTGAATTGCTTTAAAGGAAATTCGTTACATTATTAATATCAACTGATTCTTAAATAATTTAGAATTTTCAAACTTAGAAAAGTGGCCACAATTTAAAACACCAATATTGTTCACTGACCTGTAACACAATTTCCTAATTTTAACCTATGCCTAATATCATATGTATTTTTTCATTCTATTTTCGATAAGGATTCAGAAAATATATATTATGGGTGATAATAATGAAACACCCTATACACATAATTTGAAGTAAAGATAGTCTTACCTGTGTAACGCATGGAAGACCTAATAAAAAGAATGTCAAACAGGAAATAAAAGTAATCAATACTTTTTTACTTTTCAAATGAGGATATTTATCATAAATGGCAGTAAAGAAATTTTCAAGGTACGAGAACTGAAAGAAAAAAAAGAGCTTCCATAAATACACTAGCAAGTGAATAATCTTTTCAAACTTACTCTTAAGAGTGTATGACAAAAATATGTAATTTTATTAAAAACCGCATTTTAAAAAAATTATTCATTGTCTACAATTATTTTCATATATATATATATATATANCACGCTTTAGAATCTATATTGTACGAAATAAAAATGTTAAATATTACCTTCCACGTACGTGATCTTTGCGCAAAATTGAACTATGAATCATATAAAATAGCGTTTAAATTGAAGATTTAAAATGATATATGAGTAATACACTAGGCTGAATATTTCTTTGGAATGTAAAGTGTAACTGAATTCGTTGTAACCAAAATGTTAGTTTAAATTCAAAAAAAGTGTTTTAAAAATAGTAGATTAAGTAAAAAATAACATACAGAGTGAAATTGAAAAGCTGCATGTATCAATGAAAATATTTTGCTGCATTATTATTATTGATAAATATTTATAGATGAAGATGTTAAATTGTTTGAGGCATTTGATTTCAATATCTTTTCTTAGAAATTTTAAACTTAGACAATTTTTTGTGAGAAGCATATATACATATATATATATATATATATATAATTCAAATTTAAAAGAATTTTCTGAATTAATTGTTAATCCACAGGAACACGAAGCAAATTTTAAGGAAATTTTGTAAGAACCAGAAGTTGATAAAATACAAATAATAAAATGAAAATTTAGAAATTTTCTTTCAGAACCATTATAGATCTCATCGATCAAATGATTGTGATCATAGAATAAAACAAATAAATGCTGAGAGGAATTACAGATATGTAAGACTTATAGCAGGATTCTCTATTTAAAACTAAGACAATTTAAAAGTTCCTGCGACGAAGTTTCCTAATTGCTCACGAATGATGTTTTCTTGCCCTATAGAGCCAAAGATTTTCTGGAAGATAAAACAATATGCTGAGTGGATTAGTCAGCCTGTCTCCAGACTTCAAATCTACTGAGCGTTCCACTTACGCTTAGGGAAGAACAATTGAAACTCGCAATCCTTTTGGGAAAACAACCTAGGGTCAGAAAACAGAGTTGCTAAGCGAGTGAGAACAATTGTCGCAGGAATTTCTAAACAGTAAGAGGAAATCATGCTGTAAAACTTACATATCTGTAATAAATTAAGGAATATTACGGATATGTAATATATTACATATCTGTTATATATTGGAATTATGTATTGCATATCTGTAATATATAATTCCAATTTACATTTTTTTTAATTCGATTCTGTGACTACTATTTTAAAACTCCGACTGCGATGAGTATTGCGCACGATCATGAGTATATTATACAGAGCGCAAAATAAAACAACGGAACACCTTAAATAACCTTTGATCTAATGATCGAATATTCTTGTACCGCGACTCAATCCTAATGGTTCGAGGGCCTAATCTAAAATACACAAATTAACTACTGAAGCAGGTAATAGTTTAATTTATGAAATCAGACACAAAAACGTACTTTCTCTAAATGAACATACTTTTTTACCATGATTTTGTCTTCGACCTTCAAATTATGAGAGATAGCCGCAATCTAGAAAATATGGTCCCAATTGTTTAGACAGCAGAGCAGCCGGAAGTTTATTCCCATTAATGTTCATTTCACCACATCTCGAGAACTTTTGCCATATCAATATAACTTTCTTATTGTAAGCAAAGCCTAAAATGTTTATTCGCCTAATGTATATTGGCGAATGTATATTATGTATTTAGGCGAATGTATATTCGCCTAAAATGTTTTCGAGTCACAGCGAAATACGTATGATATGAAATTAGGGTACGAAACTTCTGACTGCTCTCCTGCCTAAAGTATCAGGAACATATTTTCCTGATTACGGCTGCTCCCCGTGATATGAAGGTCCTTCGGAAAAAAAGTTTAGCTTATTCTGAGAAAGTACGTTTTTGAGTCTGATTTCGTAACTTAAAATATCATCTGCTTTAGCTACTTTGCATACTTGCAGGGCCGTTTTATCCATTAGGCACTGTAGGCAACTGCCTAGGGGCCCTGTGCTACAGAGAAAAAAATTGACAATGTTTCTTAAACAGTAAAAATTTAATTCGAAATTTCAATGACGATAGTCTTGCTCTGTACATTACATCGACGCTATTTTAGTACATTTCTGAACGCATTCCAAATTAGATATTAATATTATGGTAGTTAGTTCATATATAACGCAGTAATATAATCGCAAGCAATTTTATCGCGGTAATTTTAACGCCGACTAATCAGATGACTATACAGCAAGAGCAGCTTTTTTAACACAACACGCTTGAAAAACGCGCAAAATTCTACGTTGTGAATGCACACTTACTGTTCTGGTACCTACCATAGGTATGTATATTCTATGGCCATTGGCCAAGCTACCAAAGAGTATGTAAAAATAAGGCTGGCAGTACTGGTTCTTTCGTCGCTTAACTGTGGAATTCCCCGATCCGCTAAATACATACGTTGTATTGTGTCAAAATCCGACGCTGAAATTAGACAGGCTTGCACAAAGTTTAAGGAACATTATTTCGAGGACATTGAGCCTGAGTTTATAGACGAAATGGTGCAGTATAAATACCTCATCTTACAATTAGAAGATGCCGGAAAAAAAATTGTGCCTGCCGAAGAATCTTACAAACTGATCATTGGTAACATGGCACAATCAGCTTTCCCGAATGTAATGACAGCTTTGCAAATATATAGAAGTCTAATGATTACAAACGCAACTGGTGAACGAAACTTTTCCAAATTGAAATTAATTAAAAACTGTCTTCGTTCAACTATGTCTCAAAACCTTTTAAATTTATTGGCCATAATGGCAATTGAAAATGATGTATTGGAAAAGGTTAACTTTCAGGATGTCTTGAACGATTTTGTAACAAAAAAAGTTAGAAGAGTTAATATTTAAGCTTATTGTATGATTTTTTTTAAATGCATTTATTAATTACTTATATTCTTTTCGTTTGATTCAATATTTTTATTGAATAATGTGATAATATACCTATGTAGTAAAAAACAGCGTAATTATGAATAAAGTGTTGTGTTAGCGAAAAAATATATTAGGAAGTTAGAAGACGGTAGGGGGGGGGGCGAGACGAGCATTGCCTAGGGACCGCGACATGCATAAGCCGGCCCTGCATACTTGAGATTAGGTTATCGAACTATTAAGATAGAGATCTAATACGTGATCATTAGATCAAAAGTTATTCAGGTTACTCCGTTTTTATTTTACGAACCATAAAACTGTTGAAATATTATATCATTTGCATTATGTCATCCTATGTTCGTACCAAACTTTATTAAAACCACTGAAGTTCAAGAGAAAATCGATAAAATATGAATATTCTATTAATTTCGAACACTAAAGTACTTATCATATTAAAAATTTTAAAATAAAAAATACTTGCTACTAATGGAAAACTTAAATCAAAAGATATAATTTTTAAATACTCACTTCACTGTCTATAGCAAGTAAGAAGAGCATAAAAAAGAACAAGACAGACCATAATTGGGGTAAGGGAAGTCTTGCAATTGCCTCTGGATACGTTACAAATGCTAATCCTTGTCCTGAAAATAATCGATATTGGCTTCAAAAATTCTACTATGTTCTGCTCTTTTTAATTTTAATATTTAAATAAAAATGAAAAATGCTCTCTTTTATCCAAATCAGATCCTTGTAAACAAGATGAAGATGCTATAAGTTGGTACTTAAAAATATTTTTTAACTTCATCAAAGTAGTTTTTTTTTTTTNTTTTTTTTTTTTTTTTTTTTTTTTTTTTTTTTTTTTTTTTGGCTAATCTGGCTAACTTTTTAAAACGTTAAAGTAAAGTACGCCAAAAAAAGTCGGAAAATTTTACCAACGGAAACAAAAACAACGAGACAGAATTTACCATTGAGATTGAAATTTGTACCTTATGAAGTATCATTGTGGCTACCACTATATATTAAGCTTCTTATTTCTCCCTGGACTGCTTTGTACAATACGCTAAAAAGACAGATCACCCAGAATTACATTTGATCTAATGATCGGATCTTTACGCTCAAAGACTCAGACTTAATGTTTCGAAAAAATGACCACAGTTATGCTTATTAATAAGTGCAGACGATACTTTAAGTTACGAAATTAGACACAAAAACGTACTTTCTGTGCATAAACATACCTTTCTTTAACGGATTTTTATTTTTTCTCCGCCTGCTTTTGAGTCAGCGAAAAACCTTGAAATGCATGCATTTTTAACTTCATTTTTGACAAGGGTTCGAAAAAATAAGTATCAAGGGCGGTGATTACCGAGCAGTCAGTAAAGTCTTTAATTTAATTTTAGCTTTAATATTTTACAACAAAAAATATTCTTCTATCAATTTATTTGATATGCTGTTTTTGTAACTTACGGTTTCATTTACATATTTATAGTCATTTCTATTTATTTATATGATACTTACCACCTTTTGCTACTTTGCTGATGTCAATACCCATTTCAGTTGACATATTACCAAGCACTGAAAATATCACAATACCAGCTATTAAGCTCGTTATGAAATCTAATGAGCTAACTAGCATTGCATCCCTGAAAGAAAAAATAATAATTTTAAATTTTACTGAATAGAAAGTTCAAACACAAATTATTAAGCGATGTAAAAGCTTCATTTGATATTATTTTAAAAATGCAAAGTCATTATACAATAAAGCTTTTTCGGTGTACGAGTAAGAAATTGAGCAAATTTGCTATAATTTCAATATAGCTTAGTTAAACCATTTTATGGAGTAAATTAAATCTTCTTAAACTTATGGGCATGATAATAAGATTCAATTTCATTCACAAAATTTAATATAACATCTTATTTTCCCGATATTATAAAATATTTCCCGATCAGTTCAAAACAATATCGTTATTATAGTTAAATGTGGGACAATTTTTCTGACAGTTTAACATTGATATCACTATACATTCTATCAGAAAAATCGTTAATTGAAATTTTATTTTTATCGGTAACGTGTTTCATTCTTGTATTCAATGTTAGAACGCCAAGAACTCTGCTCATAGAACAAAGGGTCAGTATCATTGACCCTGATAACTGCTTATGCTTTCTCGTTTTCGACTCTAATTAATTCTAATGGGTTATGAAATACTCCGAAGATTTATCTAAGCTATTAGTGAATTTATCATTTTTCTCGTTTTCTTGAGAAACAGGAAAACTACTCAATAACTACAAAGGGGTAAGTAACAAAAAATTTATATTATCAACATGATCAATACGGAACAATGGCAGACACTACTACTGCATTAAAAAAGTGTCGATCCCTCATTTCACAAAATCTTTTTTACAGTTACGTTTACAATTTAATTAACAATAAACGCTGCCATCTATCGGTGGTTCCACAAGTATTTCCACATATGCTGTTTACGCGAATCAACGCTCGCTGTTTAAGTTACAACTTAGGTTTGTTTTTAGTTACAGGCACCCCGCAATATAAAATATTTAGCAGTTTCAATGGCAATATACTATCAATTGATATTTTTTTTGTATTTTATTGAAATTTCGAGTTTTGATAGTTAATGGTAATTTTTGAAGTGAAACTTCTAATGCGACTTCCAACAAGGTTGCGTTAAACGCTACCATGACAACGAGCGGCCTGTGATCCTTGCAGGAGATTTTAATGTGAATTTCTCGTCACCTGAAGCTGAAACGTTATTAACCTTCCTTAAAGACAAATTTGGATTGGAAATGATAAATGGTAGGAATGATCCGACAACCAAAGGGGGAACTACCATTGATGCAGTTTTTGCAAGAAATATTGAAAAAATAGAACTCAAACATTTCGTATCTTACTTTAGTTATCATAATCCCATTGTAAATGTTATAGATTTGGATATTTCTCCACTCGAAAATGATAATTAAAAGATGCGATCATTTGTGAATTGTAAGCATTGTTAATAAAGTTTGTCTTAACGAAACAATATGATTTCACTAAAAATCAATTTCTACCCCTTCCTATTTTCATTGCCACATTACGAAGTTTCACTTCTTCCGCGCGGAGGGACTCCACGCACTATTTTTTTTAAAAATTCTAATACGCGACGAGTATACACGTCATATGCACTGCAAAAGATATTTTTGTCTCTCGTCAAACTTGTTCAACTGGTTAATAGAGAAAGATATTTTGTAAAATTGATGTTTCCCTACCGTAAAAAGCTGATTTGCACAAATTGCTTAAAATTTTACTCAACATGCTCTCCTACTATAATCTTAAACTAAACTTACATGTACAGCTTATTTTCAAACTCATTGTAGCTTGCATACATGATTAGGCTGCCACAACCGATACTCAAGGAAAATAAAAGTTGTTCAGCAGCTGCTCTCCAAACCTATGCAAGAAAATTTTAAAAAAAATCTTATAAAAAGCACTTCTTAAAACAAACTTTGAAATAAAAGAATTGAGATTTGAGATTTCTCAATATCTGTTGATCGACTGATGTATTTATAATTTTTGTATTGCATTTATCTTTTTTATTTATACGATTCCCTGCTTGATTTTATGAGCAATACTAGCAAACGCATGCTATATTATTAGAGTTGAATCAGAAACTGTATAAAAAAGTACTTAATTATTTATGAATCTAGTGAACTGTAATGCCATTCCTGTATAACTACAAAACATCCAGCGTTATAAGAAATTGCACTATCTACATATAAACAAAAATCACATGCAAATTTCTTAATTGCAAAACAAAATTTTACTAGAAAGAGAAGTTGTTTTCATTGAAAGTTAGAATCACTTTTTCTAACGCATAATATTTTTAAAAAAAACTACCACAGCTAATATTGAATGCCTGTAAGCGGCGACATGCGTTGGTAAGTCATGGCATTTGTTTTTACCACGATTCAGCAGCCAATCAGGTTCGACAAACGCGTGAGATCTCGCTTGCTCACATCCAATTAAATTTGATCCGAAAAATGATTCAGCTTGGTAATAAACCTAATCTAATAGCTGTAGTATTATCCCGTCATGCACAACCACGTGATTAGACGCAAATGCGTGATTTCTGTGGTATTCTTCTCCCCGAGTAGCAAGTATCCAATTATTGAAGCTGGCACTTTATAGAATAGTACTCCTTTTTTGTTTTTTTTTTTAAAAAAAAGAAACATTACAGGCACAAAATATAACTAAGTTAAATATTATTTCCGGGTAAATTCCTTGTCATTGTATACTTTGATTAAATCTTTCACTAATTATAGTTGGTCAATGTTCTTTGGAGCTGAGAGTTAATTCAAAACTGGTTTGTTTGTTCTTTTTAGTTTCAAAAAACGAAGCAGAAAAAAAATTAGTTTTTTTAGTAAAGAATTATAAACAATGAGTTTTCCCGTATGGTATTATGAGTTAAATTCGCTCAAAGAATAAAGATTTTTATTCAAATATTTAAAAAAAAGGATTTAAGCATCATAAATCGAAGTTATTACTTTACCTGAATTTTAAGCAGTTGTCTCCAATCTGGAATTACGAAATATTTTATTCCTTCTAAAGCTCCATTCAATGTACATCCATAAATAAGTAAAATTATTAGTATTACGTAAGGGAATGTTGCTGTGAAGTATACTACCTAAAGAGTTATTAAAATGTTAACATTTAAAAGTTATTTAAACTGATATAAGCAATTAATGTAACGTAATTATGCCCATACTTTTCCAGAAGACTTTATTCCTTTCAATAAACCTAAAAATACAATTATCCAACAGAAGAGAAGAGTTAAAGCTAAATCCCACTTGATGGTTCCAAGATTATCGATACTGGGTGTAAGTTGAAGAACATACCGCCTAAAAATTGAATAAAATATTTGTAAAATAAAGTAAATAATAAACCACATATTGTTTATGCAGTAGAACCTTAATCGATCGTTCCTCATGGGACCATTTATGGCGAACGCTAGATACGCACTGTGGGCCAGAAGACCATGATCTTTGGCCAAAATTAAATTTTCAACTGAAATATATGTAGGCAGTTTTAATATAGCCCAAATTAAGTATTCATAATCATTCCAAACATTATAATTTACTTTTTGGACAGATGAGAGTACAATGTAATGAAAAATAGGTTTAAAAAAATTTTTTAAATGTAACTTTTAAATTTTTATTTCAGAAATATGTACAGGAATTTCACCTTACTGTTACATTTTTATCAGAGTAATTAGTCTGAAATTGTAGTACACTTTTTCAATTTGTTGGATTAGTTAATACTCTTGACAAGCTTATAGTTTATATCTTATCATTTGACATTTTACAATGTTTGAATGACTTTCGAAATTTACTTCCAAAAAGTTCCACCAGGTAATTAGCTAAACTTTTTTTTGTTGTCTTTGATGTTTCTTCTTTCGATAAAACCTGCCCCATTTTGCCCGTATTGCAAAGGTGGGAACTAAATATAACGAAAAACAAAAATTATGTTTTTTTCTCATGTTTTTGCGTTATTTTGTAATTAATTCCAGTCATTTTGTAATATTACTTCGGAAATATAATTTGCTTTTTATTTTTAATATAAAATTACGAAAATTATTATATTTCCATTGCTATATTTAATAATTTAAACGCACTACATTATTTATTTATTTTTTTTTTTGCTCGCCATATTTCAGCCGCCATTTTGTTTTTTTGGGTATTTTTAGTGAAGTTTAAAATTTCAACTATTAACTCAATTTACCTGCACATAAAAACCCCTAAATAAAAAACCCCAAATTTTGAAAAATTTTTTATCGAAATACTAATTTTGGCCACGAAGCCTTGGAATTGTGATACGATAAACAAGTTTCATTATCGTGTGCAAGTTTTTTTTTATTCATTTAATTCGTTATTTTATGTGTCAAATTTCGTTTTATATATCAAATCATCCCCAAAAATATTTTACCAAATTTGTGGTTAGTCCCTTTAATCATTAAGATAGCGTAGAAATGCAACCTCTTGATCAAAAGTTATTAAGGGGTACTCAATCTTTTTTTTTTCGCACATTGTAAATATTTATGTTATTTATAACAAACTCTATCCAAAAGAAAGACATTTTTCTCAAAGTTCAAGTAAAATGCACCAGAACTACATGTATCTAAACAAAAACGGCCTTGTGTAAAGAATAATATGTAACATGAATTAACATGAAAATCGAATTGATAACAATGAAACATAAATAACAAAACCTACTCCCAGAATTGCTCTGAGGCTGTTTGAGTTCCATTGCTGCAAGCATTTAAGGCATTTTGATATTCCAGAATTGATGTTGTGATTATTTTATCCTTCCATGTATCATTTGTAACTACAGTTGCATTGACATCAGTGGAAGTATTATAAGTAGACGAAAACAAATCTGGAATTTCCCAGCAAGATGTCTGAAAAGATAATTTTGCTTTATCACTTTTGTTAATAAAATTTTTTATACTAAATAAAACATGTTAAAAAGTTGTGTCAGAAGTAACTTTTGCATTGATAGTATTTTATAAGATATGCGCTCAAAACATAACTAATGTGTTAAATTGTGAAGAGGACGCTGCGAAAAAGAACTGAATAAAAACATTCTTCTATTGATTTAAATTGCCAAATGCAAACATTTTTCGATTATCTGGTATTCCACAGGATCCTGGGGCTCCGTGGGAGGGTCACAGAGGTTCCAAAAGTTTAAATTTTTCGAAACGAATTATATTTATATCATAACAATGAACCATAATTTTTTTGTTGTTCATTTTTATTAAATTATTTAAGTAAAATGCCAGTAAAAAATGAAATGGCAAAATGTATTTAAAAATTGCATCAGTAGTTTTCGCCGAACTTTCTAACTCAAAATAAAATAACCAAATTTAAAAATAACAAATTATGTTTCTCTGATGGCTATTTGTTTAAGAGTTCCTTTTCGAAAACTATAATTTAGCTTTTTTATTCATTTTCAAGTTATACATGCACAAAAAAAAACAAATTTAGAACTTGAGTAGATAATGCTCCAGGCCTGCGAATTCAGCTATTTGACACAAAACCTATTAGAATTTTATTGATAAAAAGATTATTGAAAAATATTTCATTCTTCACATTAAATATTATCAACATACTTAGTTGTCTTTGTTTGGTTAATAAGTTCACAGCTGCTAATAAATTTTATTTTTTTATATTTAGGGTTCCATCAAAAGATGCTAAATCATTTAGGGTTCCGCAGCAATAAAAATTTTAAAACCACTGTTCTAGACTATTTATCCTGCACAATTAAGGGTAAAGGTTGACTAGTACCATAGAAACTACATTTTACAGTACTTCAAAAATTCCCCGTACTTTCATAGTGTATTGGAACTTATTTATGCCTCAAACTAATTCATGAAGCGTAAGGAAGAAGTAGGCCAACATAGTAAAAAATCTTAGTTTTTCCAAAAGGAAAAATCTGACATCGATCTCTTCCTCAATATTGTTTCCAGATGCTTCCTTTTTCCATAAATGCATAACTTCTTTGATAGATATAACTTCTTCACCAGATAAACACGCAATATTCAGGAACATTTTATTGCCTGCACAAAATTTTTCTGTCGCAAATGGGATATCTGCAAGTATCGTAGTGTGGTATCTCGATCTTGATTGGCTGTTGAAACGTGACATTTGTTTATGTTAGCAACTGTCCCTTCCATTCTATTTCGAGTAAACTAAGCACACCAAGTATCAATTATCTTAAGTGACACATTCTATATTCTTTCACAATGATTCTTTTATAAATATTTCAATCCTTCCACGATATTTTTCTTTAACACAAAGACAGGTGCGAAGTCATGTAGAACATAAACAAACTAATTATGCATCGAAGTTACCAGGTACACAAATGCGGCGCTGTGTGATACCACGCTGTATTTAATTAATTTCACTTTAGTTAACATTCTAACTTATGTGAAGAAACTTAGTTTAACTTTAACATGCCATTTTCCTTATAAGCGATCATGTGGTGCTGACGTCATAGCTCACAAGTGTTGGTATCCGTAATCTTCTTCTTGAAGTCCAAATACCCAATTGACAGAATTGTTTTGTTCTGTAAATTATCAGCCCTCTTCTTAACAAAATATCTCCTGCCTGACCCATTTAAAAATTTGGCAAATCATTCTTTTTTTCCCAAACGCATCGGAATCTGGTTTTGCACAATTAGCAAAATTCAAAATATATGTTCGTCGTTCTTCAAAAAATAAATTTTATTTTCTAATTACAATTTCAAATAATAATTCCTTTCTTACCTGATTGTTTTTGCGAACGTAGCAGCCCTCATCGGCACCCCACCAGTTTTGGCACTCTTGCCATGGCACTTGAGCTCTGAATGACTGTCCGATATAATACAACGTATAAGCCATAATAACATTGTAATAAATAGCTATTAATACTGAAATAATTATCATAGCAATGCCTACCCCTGAAAAATATCAATAAATTCTTCACATTCAAAGTAACCGTTAAAAAAATATCTTGCTAAACTTAAAACAATTCAACGTTAGAAAAAAACAAGGGATCTAATTCGGAGCAATTCTACAAATAAACGCCAATAAGGCGGCCAAAAAAAAAAATTTTTTTTTTGCGGGGGGTACGCTATTTCTACATGAATTTTCTTCTTTTTTACACCCTAAAAAAGCAAGAAAAAAATCGTGAACATGAAATTTTTTCTTTGTGACATACTTTAAGTGACGAAATACCAATTTTAAATTTTTCCCGATTTTTTCAATTTACGAACTTTGATTAAATTTTTTTATTTTTGTTTTTTATACTAAAATATAATCTTATAGTATGAAATCTCCACAAATACATTTTAGAGAGACGTTATAATATTATATTTATGTGAAAATCGTTTTATCTGAATAAATGGCTCAGATTTATCTGGCTAGATTATATTTTAGTATAAAAAACAAAAATAAAAAAATTTAATCAAAGATCGTTAACTGAAAAAATCGGGAAAAATTTAAAATTGGTATTTCTTCATTTAAAGTATGTCACACAGAAAAAATTTCATGTTCACGATTTTTTCTTGCTTTTTTAGGGTGTAAAAAAGAAGAAAATTCATGTAGAAATAGCGTGCCCCCCCCCCAAATGTTTTTTGCCGTTTATTTGTAGTAATGGCGTTTATTTGTTGAATTGCTCATATGACTAAAATTGTCTTCATATAGTATACTTATAACTTTTGAATTGATCTGTTATATACTTACCTGAAGCACTGCATATTTACTTGTCTGATTATAACTTTTGAATCGATCTGTTGTATACTTGTCTGAAGTGTTTACTTTGAATATAACTTTTCACAATATGATCAATTTATTTCATGGTAAATTAAAATTTTCATGGTTTAAGAAACCCTTCTTCCATTTTATCGGTAATCAATGCTATGAATTAAGTTTAAAAAAAAATAAAAATAAATAAAAATAAAAACAAGAATTAAAACTTTATGCAAATACTAGGGTGGTTAAGCCCACTGTTCGTTGACGCTTATCAACCCCGATGATTGCTTCGTAATAATTGTTGTTTCTTGTCATAAAACTGTTGAAATTATTCAACTAAAAATATATGTGATAAAAAGAACACTTGAGCCTCCAAAAACCCACGTTTAAATATTTCCCTTATGATACTATTAAGATCTATTATTGGACATAAATCCTTTTTCTAAGTAATCATTTTTTGGAATATTGTAACATTTGAAATTAAAAGTATATTGTTATAACAAATTTGGTGCATTCGCAACTGTAATTTAACATTTTTGCTTACTAAACGGACGGATATATTTTAAACACAATTTTTGCCTTCATTACTTTGTGCACTCATCTCTAAATCATTAAACGAATCTCTTTAACAGTAATTCATAATAGTATAATGTAATTTGTACTAAAAAGTACTAATTATAAAATGGTTAATAAGACCAAACACCAATTTAAATAACTTTATCTCAAAATGTAATGTAGAATTACGTTATTCTAATAATAAGAAGAAGAACAATCTTCTTAAATTCTTAATTTAGAAAACAAGCGAAATCAGAAACGTAATAATGACAGTACCTTTAATTTAAGAATACCAAAATATTTATGGGTAAACAATAACTTTTATAACTTATATCAATTTTATGCTGATAACAATCAAACAAATAAGAAAATTAATGTGAGAAAACTGTATCTTATCATGTGATTTTATGGCCTAAAAAATGCACCGACAACAGTGGAAAACTGTGCTAGACCATTATGTTTCTATGTTATACAATGAAACGTAATACATATTATTAATGTGTTTCCAGTTTTTGAACCCTAATAACTTAGAGTAACTGCGGTACAAATACTGAGTAAAAACTTGTGAAAAAAGAAATAATAAGCACATCAGAGGTTGCATATTGCGTACTGAAATAATTATTATAGCAATGCCTACCCCTGAAAAATATCAATAAATTCTTTACAATCAAAGGACTAAGTGAAACCACTATCAAAATCAATCGAATCATTATTTAAAGACTGGTGAAACTTGGAGGCGTTTGTAATGAATATCTTTAAATTTCTCACTGTTTCGTTTAACGATAAAACACTTTTTGATATTTTTAATGAAGCCTTCCTCTCTAGTAATATAATAATTTTCCACTGTTAATGAGAACTTTTTGCTTTATCTCTAAATAGAATTTAAAAACATGTATTAATGGAGGACATAATGGGGCACTCTATATGTTTAAATTATTGTTAAAGAATTTATGATATGGAATGTTAAATCTCGGCTATTCTAATCATTTATAGAGAGTATAAAGTTATTCATTGCCCGTGAAAATTGAAGATAAATTTTGATTTCATTTCCACTTTCATTCATGCTTAAGCAGCTAAGTTTTGGGTCAGTTTTCTGAGAAACTATTTACTTGATTTTCAAAACTTTTTCCCGTTTTCTTTTCTTTTNTTTTTTTTTTTTTTTTTTTTTTTTTTTTTTTTTTTTTTTTTTTTTTTTTGAAATCTTCCATTGTACAAAAATATTACTATTTAAAAACAAAACTGGAAAACGTCGATTTCGAAATTAAAACTTCAAATCTTTTTTTAAAAAGAAATGTCTTTTTAAACAGATAAAAATGTACGATTGAACAATAAGAAAACAAGGATGACAAGAAGGACGAATCAAAACCAAAAGTTTTTTAATATCGGGTGTAATTGATAACGAGGTAAATTTCATTTTACACAAAAAAAAATTATTTACAAATTAAGTCAAAAATTTTGTTAAGTTGTCGAGTCCAAATGCCCGCTAAAAATTATCTAAAGTTTGTCTCAAATTGCTCGTAAATACATTTAGAATAAGAAAATAATTAAAAAAACGTTAATTACAAATTTTGATCGACACAAATATTGTGCTCTTATTAATAATTAATTTTGAATTCCCCGCTTAATGATTAATTTTTTTTTGCATTATTTACTTGCAATTTTTAATGTTTAATTTCATAAATTTTAATTGAAAATATTAGCACTAATTTTTCATATTCCGATTTTTTTAATCAAAATAGCGTTAATAATAAGTATAAAAAATAATGTCACAGAAATGAATTTCACATGAATAGCAAAACAATGTGAATAAAGCGTAGATAAGGACATAAAAATGAACATTATCCACTTTGTTTTGCGTTACCCATGTGAAGCACAAAGTATACCATAACTTCCAGTGCAGTTCAAAGTAGGCCATAGATCTTACCCTTTGCTATAGGGAAACATCTCCAAATCCTTACTGACCCACAGCTTGAAAATTGGCCGAGTGCTAACTCAGCAAAAAAATGGGGTTTACCAACCAATACCAATAGTACGATGTATGCAACAAGAAAAGCTCCTAAAGATATAAAAATAATAATTATGACAAAGAAATATAGACAGATATAAATTTGAAAGAAATATAAGGAACAATTATAATATTAAGCAATCTATACGTATAACGCAACCCTGGAAAATCTAACGAAAAGGCTATAATCTCACTATAATCAAAGCTGTTAAAATTTTCACTGTAAAATTACGGTAAAATAACCGACAGCAGTCTGTTCATCCAATTAACCGTAACATTTACGGTATAGTACATCTTTTACTTACACGGTTTTGAAACTATTTACAACTTGCATTATTTCAAAACGGTAAAAAACAATTTAACTGGACAATGTGCTACCATCTATGCGTAAATAAGAGTATCGTATTCTAATATAGTCCACGGACGCAAATTAGGGAGACTGAAAACTCTTTATGTGTTGAAAAGAATTGAGAAAATATTGTGGTGCCAAAGCAGGAGCTCGAACCCCCGTTCCGTCGGTCAGGAGGTTGACGATTAGCCCTCTCGGTTATAATATGTACCTAGCTACTCGGAACTAATTGGCTTCATGAGGTGAGCTTAATTGATTAATAAAATTTTGCGATGAAATTCTGGTTCTTTAAAGGTATTAGGTGAAAGCAGTTAATAAACGGTTTTCCTCACATTTAACAGTTTCAATACCATCTTATTTATGATTATTTGACTGTTTTATTTGAATATGGTAAGATAACCATTAAATAAATTGTTATCTAACCATTTTTTCCGAGAAATTTCTAACAGTGTAACGTAACTCTTGAAAATAAGTTGAATTTTTCCCTATTGCTAATAACTATGTCTCCATTGCATTAAGCAAACGAAATTGAAGTAACTCTTAAAATGTAAGATATTTGCTATAAAAAAAGAATTAAATGATTGGAGTTAAATTTTCAGGTCATGGAGTGACAAAAAAATGCAGTTTACGAAACTTTAATATCCATTGGCAACGAATAGAAGGGGCAATATTTGGATAAATTTCTCAGACTCTTTAAAAAATGTGTAGACATAATCCATTTCTTTCATTCGAATAAAATACAGATGGTTGAAATGTTGCTTACTGAAGAAAAATGGAGCATATTTTTCATCATTTGCAAGAGTCATTTTAAAACCTATACATTATTTACTTTAGTTCTAAAAAAAGTAAACTGAGAAATATTAAAAGAAATTATTTACCTTACGAATTCGAGGTGTAGAATTTTACTGCAACGCAAAACGTGATCTATCTTCAGTTTTCTTTTCAATCTAAGAGCATAACGCAAAACGAATTTGTACTGTGCTCACTTTTCCCAAAGAAATGGTTGAGTTCGATATTTATTTGCTGCTTATTCTTTTNTGTGTAGATGTAATCCATTTCTTTCATTCGAATAAAATACAGATGGTTGAAATGTTGCTTACTGAAGAAAAATGGAGCATATTTTTCATCATTTGCAAGAGTCATTTTAAAACCTATACATTATTTATTTTAGTTCCAAAAAAAGTAAACTAACAAATATTAAAAGAAATTATTTACCTTACAAATTCGAGGTGTGGAATTTACTGCAATGTAAAACGTGATCTATCTTCAGTTTTCTTTTCAATCTAGGAGCACAACGCAAAAAGAATTTGTATTGTGTTCACTTTTCAAAAAGAAATGGCTGAGTTCGACATTTATTTGTTGTTTTCTTCTTTTTTTTTAAATCTTAAAGTATTTTTTAATTATATTACGTATCTACAGATAATGTATCAACCTGGTAACACCATCACGCTTACAAATGCAAACGCAGTAGCTAAAAACAGACTTCTATCTCACACCTTTAAGAAGCCTGTTGTCACCAACTTCAGCTGCCCCAGAAATTTCACATCGGTTATAGCCTGACTTATTAGAATCAATCATATCTGAGAGCTGAAGATTCTCCCGGACAAGACCGGGACATGTAATCGTGCAGAAACTGCACTGATGTCTTGTTAACACCGAGGCACATTTTCAAGTGCTCAGCACTTACACCACATGTTCTGAAATTGGAAATGGTGCCACTTGAGGACAACCAAAGATCTGTTCTCTATAGTTAAGAGGCACAGAAGCTGGCGGCTATAATCGTACAGACTTTCTATGTTCTTTGAAAATCCATGGACACGAAATCAGCAACAGCAACAAGCAATGTTATATTTTTCATTCGTAGCTTTTGCTTATAAACTACAAAGTTTTGTTTGTAAACTACAAAATCTAACAATTTAACGATTATTTCATACAAATATTATTTATAAAAATGCTTTATAATTGCAATAAATAATTTTCTTCATATTTTCTCAAATTCCTTTAGCTTGTTTGCCACCCCCGGCATTGACATTTTGCGGAATTGATTTCTGGTGTAGTTTTCAAAATAAATATCTGGTGAGCAAATTTACTAATACAAGCGAGGTAAACTTGTTTTCTGTAATGTTTGCAATATTAATTGAGCGGCCTCTGCGTCATGCCATATGTCTAGGTGTGGTTGGTGAAAAGATAACAGTTCCTTTTATGCTCTAACGTAAAAAATACTAACACTGGGAATACTTTTTTCCTGCTTGTCTTTCACGTTTGTATTGGACAGACAGACATGGCCGATTGAGCCTGACTGAATGGGTATATTTCCAAAAGTCTCCCGGGTTGCTTAGGGAACTTAACCTATTATTAGTTAGAAATTTTACTGAAGAGGAAGCAATGAAAGTACATTTAAACACCTTACACCAACTCTACAAAAACAGAACTAAATGTAAATAAGTGAAAATAACTAAGTTATTTTCCCTTTTCCCAGTGATAGAGAAGTGTACGGTATTTTTAGTAGAATTTCAAAACTGAAAAAAGTAACTTTAAATGACGATACTCCTCATAGTCAGGTCCTCAAAGTATCATAGAAAGATTTAGCACGTTCAAGTATCATTATGTACTCTCATGTATGCTATGTGCAAGCTATGAAGAGAGCAGTGTATTTGTCACCGGCAAACACTCAAGTATGGAGTGCTACGCGAAAAAAAACTAAATCTCTTCGGTTAAACTCTATATAAGCTTCACTTAGCAGAGTAATTGTTTCGCACGTGCGCAGTGTTGATTTAGTCAAATAAAACAGCGGAGTAAATTGAAAGAAAGAAAAGAAAGGGCATACCACCTATTTCACTTCGGTAAACTTTATGAGAAGGTTGAAAATTTCTGCTATAAAGAGTTTAGAACTTTATGAATTGATTTCAATGACCTTTGTATTTGATGTAAATGATTAGAGTCTTATAATTCACATTTTAAATATAATAAAACTTTTTAGTGTTATTACGTGATTCCAAAAGGCGTTTCTAAATTTCGAGAAAAAAAGAAACTTTAATTTTCTTAAGGAAACAATTAATCCTCCCATTAAAATGTTTTTTGTTATTAATAAATAATGTTTAACCAACCAAAAATCAGTTGATAACTATTTAAGATCAGTTCATGATTCCTTCTGAATCATGTTGAAATCGAACTAAAATATATATGGTTCTGGAATAATATGGTGCTCTCACCTCCACCATTTTTATACGCAAGATACGGAAATCTCCATACATTTCCAATTCCTACTGATAAGCCTATACAGGAAAGCAGAAATTCAGCTTTATTGCTCCATTTATCTCTGGTTATGTTTTGCTGTTCTGGAACTATTGTTTTTTTGTCGAGGTTGTTGTTTAATGTCCTTGATGAAAGAACCTATAAATTACAAAATAGTTGTAAAATATGCGACGAAAATAACAAGATTCTAAAAATAAAATGATTTACCTATATACAAATAAGGGAAATAAAAAGATGTAGAAATTCTTCATTTTAAATCTCGTATTTAATAAAACTGTATAGATTATTTAATGATAATAATGAAAAAAAAAACTAATTTCTTTTTGAATGGTGTAGATAAAAGAGTACGGAATGCATTAAACATATTTGATATTTTCTTACAAATATTTTCATGCTAAAAAAAATTATTTTGTAATTTTGCTTCGAAATGTCCCGTATGTAACGCAACATAGTGATTTATCATTTTCACGTAGAATCCTTCACTTTAGAATAACACCATTATGCAACTAAAACGAACTTCTTCGACTCGATTTATTCGAAACCGTTCGATTGCTATGGATGGTGTTTTCAATATAAGTGTAAACAACAATCTCGAGCTCTTGACCTGCTCAACTTCCGGCTAGGAAGTTTACAGCTTCTTACTTCAGCTTATTCTGCTAGACGATATTTTCACACAGATATATCTGTTTTTAATCAAAGAAATGAATCTTATAATTCCTCAGCTAAAGTCTGCTGTATTACATTAGATATTAATGGTATTAAGTAATTCTGGTGAGTTTGAAATGAAAATTTATTTTAATCATTCACAGAAACATTTTTTAAAAATATGACATGTTTGCCAGATTTCGAAACAACTCTATTTTTTTCTGTCCGGATTTGACCTCTTTTTACTTGTTTATTACTGTTTGTTTTTGTTACAAGCCGTGTACCATCATACGTTGGTGTTAGCATACTGTTCAAGCTACGAGACTAAGTTCATATTACAAATTATCATTTAGGCTTAAATTTCGAAGTTGCTGACAAGGTAATAAGTGTTTTATAACGTTTTCTTTCTCTCTTTTTTTCAAATGTTAAGATGCACAGCAGAATACTTGAAACTCATTCGTAAACACGAATAATAATTAAGGTAACTAACACTATGTATATAAGAAGTAATACTCAAAAGAATCTCAAAACATAATGAACACGTTGTAAACCAAATGGCCTCAAAATACACCGGAAACAGTAACCCAGAAGTATTGTCAGTAAAGAGGTTGCAGCTCCCCCTAGTGTTGAAAACACCATCCATTCGATTGTGACTGGTTTCCTAGTTCAATTGTAACATTTGGTCACTATCGAAGTAAAGGAATTGTCCGTCGAAGGAACTTATCTTTTAATGCACGTCACGTGTGCTATATTCTTTCTTTGCCACTAAAAAATCCATAAGCGTTTTCTCAACTAGAGGTTGAGAGAGAATTTTTTAATTGTGATTTTCAAATTAGCTTCTTCTCGCAAAGTTTCGTTTTTACCATAGATATTTGAGTCTGTAATCATCCAAAACATTTTTTGAAAAAAAGCATTTTTTAAAGCATTTCTTAAAAAATATTTTTTAAAATAGAATTGAATCTTTAGTTTAATTTAGAAAAATTATTTTAAATGATCTCGGTTACCATGATGAAGATTTTTCATTTTTAAGATTATCCTTATGAAATGTTTTCAGTTCTTATGATTAGAAATTTAAAATTTTCAAAATATGATAAAAAGTACTTTTTACATTCGTCGCAAATAATAATAATAATTTCCATCCTTTTTACAATTGAAAAATACTTATACCTTAAATAAAACACATATACCTAACCAGATTGGAAAACGTATATCTGCATCAAGAACGGTTAAAAGATGATATGATATTGCATTTACCTTGAGAAAAATCCTTATTATTGAAATATTGGCAATTTATTTTTAGTAGTAATAAATAGCAAGCATGAATTAAAAGCAACTATTGATGAATATCGAATCATAGTTTCGGATTTCTAGCTCGAAATTAAGTATTTTAATATGTAATTCGAAATATTTGCATCTTTTAGTTAAAAAAATTTTTAAGAATAGTTCAACGAGCGCATTATTTATATAAAATTGTAATGAATTGTTTGTAACATAAAACCTACTTTTTATCTTTCTATCGCTCTGGTAGCTCTCCACCAACGCGAATATAGAGAGAGTATAGAATCAAGTTTATAGTTTGTCTAAATTAAGAACTCCCCTAGCCGTACGTCTGGACTCGTGGCGATGACTATGGTAACGAGGTATAACTATTTCAAGAAGGGGTGAGGGGTCATTGTTAAGGACAGATTTTGACTCAGGTCGGCAAGAGAAAAGGTCCGAGAGTGAAGAAAAGCTACCCTCCTTGAAATGCGCTGTTCTTGTTTTTATAGCAGCAGACGGCCTCAGACTTTGTTGCGGGGGGAGTTATTACCGTAGACTAACTATATCTGCTTCATGGTTGGTCAGAAATATATGATTAACAGTATACAAACAATAACAAGCTTCCTAAAACCGGAAGAAATTTAGGAAACTTTCGGTGTATTCCTCCGCTTATGGTAAGCTTACGAGGCAAAGTGTGTAAAAGCTTAATATTCTAGGAAGTTTTATTACAGTAATTTGTGTTTTAATTTACGCTTAATTTTACCATTCATAAGAGTTCCCTGTAATTTATAAATTTTTGCTGGTTGCGGACCTAAAAAATTTTTTAAAAATCAATATAAATGAAGTGTAAGGTTTGCCATGTTTTGAGTATTATCCCTTATTTGGCTATAGTTGTGTAAAATATCACGCGTGTAATTTGTTGGGTTGCATCTTAGTATGCTTGCGTAGTCTCCAAATTCATTGTCTGTTTCGTTGAGTTTTAAATTGATAGAGCGCTTTACATTGTAAACACTACAAGTACAATAATATTGGATGGCGTGCTTCTTCAATCTTAGTCGTAAAAATCAATCTGAAGTAGTTACTCGGAAGTCTAACGACGAATTTTTACACCTACAGCCGTCTGTCCTTAGTTTTACGCAGTCGACCACCCACAGTTCTATCGAACTTAGCCTTCGAAGACAAGAAGCAATCGTGCTGTCACGTGACAAAGAACGTTCGAAACGTTTCGAGTTAGAATCAGGAAACAGACTTTCTTTTTAATAAATCAAGCGAAAACCACTCATTCGATCCAATTTTGTTTCAGTTGCATAAGGCTGTTTAACTGTGATCTGCGCAACGTTCCGACAGAACAATCTCGGTTCTCCTCCCAGTTTGTATGTAACCATGGGGGGATTTTACAAGTCAGTGTTAATTCCCTGATATACCTATGAAATCTTCCAGCAATGTTTTTGCCTGAAATACTATATTTCTACGTGTTAGAAAATGGTTTTGTTAAAAAAAAGGGTTTAGTTAGATTCGTTGAGTTGAATCCCTGAAAAAAATCCTCATTCAATGCTTCAGACTTCTATTTTTCAGCAACCATTTATTAAGGATGCGTATAATACATAGATTAAGCTCTTAGCGTAGCATACCATAAGTTCGCGTACTTTTAATATGTGTAGAGACCGATGTTATTCCATAATAACTACACTGGGCAAAACATACGTACTTGGACCTGTGGTATGCCACGTGAAACTGATTAATTTCTCGAATATTAATCTTTAAAAAACGGCGTTTATCATGATACAACCTGTCATTTTAGTCCTCTTGTAATACCAGCCATAAGCAAAAGATTAAAAACTTCTTAAAATTTTACTTGGAAAAATACGTGTATAATTTTGAAATTCAAATACAATAAAAGGTCATTCGAATTAAATATTCATTCGGTAACAATATTATAATAATTAAGGTTACATATCTAGGAGTATTTTCAGATTTTTCTTCTGGTTCAAACTTTTTCTTAAAACTAGAATGATGGAAAACATGAATACATTGAAAAAACAATTTCATTTTGGAAATACGATTGCGTAATGCATCTTATATTCATTATATGTGAATAAGAGAATAAGAAAATGTTTTAGCTGTAAATGTTTTTTAGTGTGTGAATCTGACGCAATAAAACAGTTAAGTTGTTCAGTTTGATGTTGTATCTTGCCATTTTTGTTTGTTTCTTATTATTTCTTTAGCTTGTTCGTCAATAAAAAAATTCATTGAACTTAAAGAATGCCTTCAAAATCTTCGATAGAGTAAAACTATAAAATACTTTGTCAAACCTACTCTTACTTTCAGACTGGATGTTTGTTGCAATTCATAAAATACATCTATGAAAATACAAATTGTTTTTAATTTTTTTATGTTTCATACATTAAACTTTAACAAATGTTTATTTAAAAGAAAATTCTTAATATGACTTTTAATTTATGCTGAACATGTCGAAAAATATTTTAATTTTCTTTCTTTAAGAATATACTCATTTTTCATTGAGAACAAAATGGAAAATTACTAGCGCAAAAAAACAAAAAAAAAGAAGAAAAAAAAATGTGTGTATATATATACAATGGGTCATTCTCACGAAAACTGTCATTTTTCAGTTCATAAAATCCCAAAAAAGTAAAGTGAATAAAAAGCTCTGAAACTTTCTATATTAATAGAAATATGTAATGGCATTATAAAGAAAGTATATATCCTATAAATTATACTTAATATTTAAATTAATTAATTTTTTAAATAATTAATTTATAATTATTAATTTATAATAATTAATAATTAATTAATTAATTTAATAAATAAATTAATTAGTTTAATAAATCAATTTATTAATTTATTTTTCAAATTAATTAATAAGTAAATTAATTATTTTCACTATTTAAAAAGTGAGGGACTGACAC